AGACTTGTGTCGTTAAAGTTTCGTTGAAACGAAGTTACGAAAAAAAATCAATTAACAAACGGAGACGTAACAGTAAATATGTGGCTTTCTCACAAAAGCAGGTAAAGGTAATATACCAGAATTAACATACTTTTGGAAAATATATATTAACACTCCTGATTTTATAGTTGTGTTAAAAAACGACTACGTGCTCTTTGTCTCACTCTAAGACACCGTATTGTTAAGAATTATAGACTAAATACGTTCTCGTATAATAACAAAAGGGAATCCTCAATAGCCACAGCACTTGAAATTCTTTTAGGCAACATAAAGTTTTCCTTTTTAGTAGCTATATTTTTGTGCGCCAGCAATACCAAGCGTGGGGCGCGCGTATATCCGATTTAATTATATTAGTCATCAGGATCTCCACCAGCTTACCCTAAAATTGAAATTCTTTTAGGCAGGATTATAATAAACTAATCTATGACCTTGGACATGATCATATATATCAATCGAAAGGGTTTGACCTCCTGAAAAACTCAGAACCATTCTATGAGTCGCTACGCCGCGAATAACAAAACAGATTTGAGTTTCATGTGTTTGATATTCTGTTATTCTTATGAGTTATATTAGATATTACTGTATTCAATGATTTAAGATGACAACAACAAAAATCACTTTTTTTGTAAATTATTTGCCCTAGGTATAAGTTCACTATAATTATACGGCCGAAAATATCGCTAACAGCTAGAATACCCATCTGATGAAACAATAAATTATAATCTTTACAAATAATAATGTAATATCAGTATATTAAATTAGCTATACTCATTACCTGATTTAGTTTTAGTTTTGATCTTAATAGGTAGCTTGCTCTGATCGGAATTAATATTAATCCTGACCTTTCTCGTATTTCAGTTTAAAAATATATAAACATGAGATTGAAACAAGAAAAAACAACATTATCAACAGAAATTTATTAAAATATGTCAAGCATTAGATTAGAGTATTGGAAGTTCAATCCTATATATCAAACATAAAATCTAAATTTTGAATATATTTTTCTGTTTTTCCATTCTTCGTTTAGAATAACGAGTGAGTGGGTTGAATTTCCAAATTCAACCCACTCACTCGTTATTCTAAACGAAGAGTTAAAAATAACGAAAAAGATATTCTGCAATACTAATTTCAAAACTTTTTTTTAGTTGCCAGGAGAACTTGATGCTGCTATGCTCCTGAAGATATTAAGAGCTTGTTGGAGACGTGAGTATAAGACTGTTTTTTTTTCTTATATTTAATATTATTATTATATTTCATTACTAGAGGGCGAGCGCGTGGCAGTTATTGATGAAAGCAACTAGCTTGCGTCTCCATTGTACACGCTGCTATTAATTTGGGCGAAAGCCATGTCTCCGATTTTTTTGGAACCATTGACATTCTTACCTCCACTTGAGAACTAGAAATCATCGTGTTTACAGATGTATACTTTTGTGTTCCGAGGTGAAGATTGGTAACTCTGAAGATGAGGTCTATAAACACGTTCCTATACGATTCTGATTGGCGATTTTAACTTAAAACCCTAGGAAACTGAAATACGATTCTGACCACGGACGTACATCATATCATAATGTACTGCTGCTTTCAAATTTATTTTATTCTTTCTATCATCATTTATATCCGAGCTTTCAGCCTAGAATAAAGTGAAAAAGATACAAAGCAGGCGTTTTTAGGCGTTACACGTGAATAGGTCAATGCGTATTTTATTTAACATGACACTATAGTTACTGTACTGACTTGCAACCTCAAAAATTTACATGTTCAAAACATTAAGGGATTTCATGGTAAATCTTGGCATGTTCTCAAGCTTGCATCAATTTTCAATGGAAAATCTTGACACGTTCTCAAGCTTGAATCAATTTTTCATAGAATATCTTGATACGTTCTTTAAACAGTAAATGAGGTTTTTGTGGTATATTTTGCCACATTCTTAGGCTGTGTATCAAGCTTTCCCTTTGTGTCTTGAGTAGTTAGGGCAGGGACCGTGCGCCTTGCCGCCAGATGACGCCACATGTGTGTCGCCATCGGAGAGAGAGAGAGAAGGAGAGTAAATGATGTCACCAAAGATGATGGCGTCATAGTTCCACAAAATCTCACCAGAGGGCGCATTGCTAGGCAGTCGTGATGGATGATTATGTAATAGTTCTACGAAGAGTAACCTGAGAATGTGTTACTAGGCCGCCATGACGTCAGAGAGGAAGTCGTGATAGTTCCACAAAATGTCACTAGAAGGGGCGTTGCTAGGGGCGATTTGTTAGGCCACTTTGACAGGCTGCTATGACATCAGAGACGATGATGCTCACGTCATGTTTCATGATAGTAATTAATAAAATTGGTTTAATTCATTAAACCAATAATTAATTAAATAATAATTCATTAGGTAATTACATTTCCTGACATTTTATATGTAAATCGTCCTGAAAAGGGACGCTTAAACACTAAACGGTATGCAGCATATAGACGTTCTTTTTATTTCTATCTGTGATTCATTAACAACATGGAGACATTTCACTCTGACTCATTGTGACATGTTCCCAATCAGTCTACCTAACTTCAAAACATATGAGCTGTACACGTTCTATACACATGTAAAGTATGTTTCACTAACTTTAATTTTAACATATAGTTAATAACCTCTGAAGTGAATCGTTTTGTTACATAATAAATGTGGTTAATCACTATTATCGAATAACAACACATACCATTTTTCTATAAACCTTTTGAGGACTGAACATTCATGGACACATGTCGACAACGATAATAAGCATATTATATACAATATTGTCCACTCTCTCTCTCTCTCTCACACACACACACACATAGACCAATGCGGTCCTCGAAGTATTTTTTGTTGTAAGTTTACGTTCGACAGTTTATGTTGAGATTATGTGGAAGCATTCCTAATGAATCAAAATATTCTCCTTTCTCATTTCTACCAATGTAAATACAGGCCTAGTGGCTACCAGATATATGAATTGTATCCAGATTGACGAATTATAATTGTTTTTCTGCATGATCAGGTAGATGATTATAGGCAAAACACACCTCCAAACTTCTTTCGCATACAGATATCTTATGAAAGTATCGAATACATTTCTAAAGTGTTCATAGCTTCTTTCAGACAATGTTATGTAGGACACCTGCTTCTTTGCTTTCAAAAGTCAACGAGACAACCATTATAATTTATTCTGTGTGGATACTGATGTCAAACTAGCTAAACTGACTGTTAGGAAATTCAAGTATCCTCACGTGATCCCACTCATACAGACAGTGTTTCTATAAATGAAGGATGAAGACCTCATTGTCTCAACACGTCATCAATAGTAAGATTACACCATTTATGTATATAACTTTTAAATTATTTATTTAGTGCGGTTCTTCTTAATTTAGTAATACTAATGAGAAATATAGTCGACAGGAGAATAAATGGAACGCCATTATTTACGCTTTCAATTAAACAATAAAATGTGTATCATAACTTGGTTTAGCTAAGACTGTGTTGAAACCGGAGTTGTTCTGTTTTCACCCCTGTTCTCTTTGTGTGTCAGCAAGATTTCTCAAAAACGGCCGGATGGATTCTGACGAAAGTTGGTATACATTTGGACTATGACCCAACTTAGAAGTAATTAGTTTTTGGATGTCAAGGTCAGAGGTCGGGATCACAGCAATGTCACGAAAATAAATAAAATCCCTATCTGTTAACATAGAGACAGATTTTTCACACTATTTTTGCTCTATAACTCATTCATATGGTGGACATATGTAGAATATTATTCCTCATTGTCCTGCTAAAAATGATTCGTGTCCGTTGATAACGACGGACATACGGACACATTTTCGTATTTTTTGAGAGCCGAATATGATCAACGCTGCGTGGTGGAGGTATGCGCTCTACTGTGTCTCTCTAGTTTTAGATTTAATTTGCAAGAGTAAGAAATGATAGCTAGTGTACATTAGTAGGTAAATTAAGCTGAATAAGCGTAAGTTGACTGAACTTTGTGAGATATTATTTATTGGCATAACGACTAAGAATATTTTAACCTCGAAAGAACCCATGTGATGAATCAACGCATTGTAATCATTATACGTTGTATTTTAACCTCGAGAGAACCCATGTGATGAATCAACGCATTGTAATGATTACACGTTGTATTTTAACCTCGAGAGAACCCATGTGATAAATCAACGCATTGTAATGATTACACGTTGTATTTTAACCTCGAGAGAACCCATGTGATAAATCAACGCATTGTAATCATTATACTCATGACTAGTAGAAGTACACGCATCATATTCTTCAGTTCCTCACTATTGTTAGTTACTCATTATTAGTAGGAGTTACACGCATCATATTCTTCAGTTCCTCACTATTGTTAGTTACTCATGACTAGTAGGAGTTACACGCATCATATTCTTCAGTTCCTCACTATTGTTAGTTACTCATGATTAGTAGGAGTTACACGCATCATATTCTTCAGTTTCTCACTATTGTTAGTTACTCATGACTAGTAGAAGTTACACGCATCATATTCTTCAGTTCCTCACTATTGTTAGTTACTCATGACTAGTAGGAGTTACACGCATCATATTCTTCAGTTCCTCACTATTGTTAGTTACTCATGACTAGTAGGAGTTACACGCATCATATTCATCAGCTCCAAACTATTGTTAATTACTCATAAAATATTCTAAAGTTTGATAATTTACCTAAGAGTAACTTATATATAGTGTGAATTATATTTCTCACCAATGAAGTATATAAAATAACAATGACTCAAAGCTAAACAATATAAGACTCATTTTCAAGTGTTCAAATATCATGTTTTAAATACTAACAGGAAACCATCTAATGGAATGTATTCAATTTTGTCAGGCAGTAATGTTTCATCATACTTTTCTGTTTATTTACACAACTTAAAAATTATATTGAATATTAGTTAGGCCTTGATTACCATCTACACAGTTATACCATTGAGATGTTGCTGGTTAACAGTTTGTTGTTCATGAATAGCTTTTACTATTATTCCCATGAATAAACATAATTAACTTGAAGTTGCACATGATCTACAAGAGTTATTCTAAGCACTGGGAGAGAGAGTATAATTTATTTAGCTATTGAAGAGCTACTCACGACATTAATGGTTATTCACAAAGTACTGTAAAGCATTATTTTCACCATAAAACATCGCATAAGAGATGCAGGATATGTTTATCACTAAGTAAAATATAAAACCCAACTTGTGAGATTCACCCTAAGATTTTGCCAATCATTAAAGCTAAACAATATCCTACTTTCCTGTTATATTTTTAAATTTCTTCACTCTTGACTTCCTATGCACTAAGGTCTCAAATCGTTTGACTGTACATTCTAAACATTCTAAACTGTAACTTCACTGAAGCAAGAAGTTGAAATATCTATAACCTTGAACACAGCAAGGCTGTTTGAATCACTATGCTAATGTATGTATATAATAAAGAAGCCAAGGATTCGTCAATAATTTCATGAAACATAATCACTATTTGTACTGTCTATTAGCATAACATTTGAACTAGGATCAAACCATTGATGATTCATAGTGATGTTTTACTTGTTATAAACCGGTTTTTAACGTTCCATCCAGAAAGGTGTTTTATGAGACTGCATTGTGAAATAGAGAATAGTCGACATGCGTGTTAGAATAAAAGGAGGTCAAATCTTCAAATGTAATTGGCGTGAGGTAATAACCGCGTTTCCCTCATAACAATTTTTTTCCATAATTATTTTACTCAATACAGATATTACGTCACAAGTCAAATGTCAGGTCAAGCGGGTGAGAAGTTCGAGATCAAAAGACGAAACAACTGGATGTACCATCAGAGGTCAACGGCCCCTATTCTCCCACCAATACTACTTATATTAGCAATATTGTAAGAGTAGAGGGATAAATAACATACTGTTCAAAATCTCTATTCATGTCTATTCATCATCAACAGGGAAGACATTAGAATGACGTTAGAATAATCAATGTTTCTTTATTTTTATTTATTCCAGCTTTGCACATCCTCGCAGAGAAACCTTCACTGGACCTATGTCGTCACCTGGTCATGCTCAGAGATGTATCCATTTTTGACTATCTGGTTAAAATTAAACATTGTACCTGTTTAAATACATATATATATACAAGTTTGCCTTTTATTGGAACTTTAAAATATAATACGATCTAACATAATTTCATTGTATCATTGCAGCCTTCAGTTCTGAATTTATAAACTTACATCTTTTGTGTGTATTGATTTAAGCTTTGTTAAAATTCCAAAATGTACCATTAGATATCACGTATGCAGTGTAAATGAAAGTGATTTATAGCGAGTATAAAATAAAACTAGAGAGTATTTTTTCAAATTTTAATCTGTAATTCAGATAACATATTTTAAAGATTATTATTGAACGAGTATAATACATTTCAGCGGTAGATGAATAGGTAAATAAACAGATATACCTTAACAAGGATCAGCCACATATAAGTGGGAAAATTGCCTTTAAAGAAATTCCGGGTTTACTGTACACACTTCAGTTCTGGAGGGTAAGTTACCATGTTTATTTAACAATTATGATTTTATTTATTTTTTTAGTTTTCTCGTCGAGCACTGAATTATTCAGTACAATTTTTACAATGGTGGCGGAACTGATATTTCAGTATACATCAAACCACTTATATAATATTATCTCTTATTAGCAGTTATCAAGAACTTCTGATGAAAGCAAGCTAGCAACATAGATCAAACAGATTAGTAAATAGTAAAGATAATTCTACATAATAGCCTAACTAAAAATATCTAATGTCACAAGAAAACAAAGCATATAATGTTTAGAAAGCATTGATACGTCAGTTAGGTACCTTGTAATTATTGACATTTACGGTCGTACATTAAAGCTGTTTCTGATTATGCATCCGCCACCATAGATAATGAATTTCATATTTTCTTAATATATTTTAATATTGTTCTCAGCTCGTAAGGCATTGAAATACTGAAATCACGACATGCAAAGCGTAATGAACCAAAATATTAAGTTAGAAGACTAAGAAAAAACGATGTACTTAAACGAAGAAAAGTTTTAAACAAAAATCGTACATTATGCTAGTGTGTTAATGCCTTAGTTTTTATCGACTTTAATTACTAGAAATAAGTAATAAACATATAAACCAATATTACAATCTGGAAAACATAATAAAGCCCTAATCACTATCTCTTTGCTGTTACTAATAAAGTTTTTATAAAAACGCTGGTCGCTTTATTTTCTTCTCCTGCAACTTCAAAAATTATTCATTTTCGGCATAAAATTTGTTAATTGATTTGAAAAACATTTTCGTCTATAATATAACTCGAATAATTTCACCTTATTCTACATACAAGTCTATTAGGTGATTCTGTAATTCACTACTGATCTCTTCAGTTTTAATATAATATATATATAAACTTATATACGTATGTTCAAAGTACCACCAGTTATAATCATTTTATAGATTATTCTATATTTGTTTTGTGGTTTATAGTTAGCAGTATTTTCCCAACTTTAAAGCTGCTTTTCTTATAATATTAAATGTACAGGAGGAAATCAAAAGTTTACACCATTTCATATGAATCTGTAAGCCTGAATTATGTGTAGCAACATTATCTTTGTTTTGTCAATTGTAAGTATTGAACCCCGAATTTTAGCGTTATAAGCCTTCAAGCTTACCGTTGAACCATGAGAATAGATAGATAAAACACTATTGTGTACATTGCATCAACTGTATCCTAACGTCAAGATTTTTGTTTATTGACCTTAGTATTGTCATCTAAGTCAGTGATCAGAAAAATATATATTTATTTATTTATTCTTATCTGATTTGGTTTCTCGATTTAACGTTCTTGACTTATAAACCATGAATTATTATAGCTGATAGTTTACAGTCATAATCCACCGAAACGTATATATTAGTAAAGAAAGGTACAGTTTCAAGTTCCGTCATAGCTAAAGTTCCTTGTGTTTGATGATTTCAATGTAATAATTAAGTTCAGCTTAATAACACAGCCAGAGTATATAAACCTTATCTATTTTCCCTAGGCTGTCTTCTTAAAGTTTGAACAGCACCATCAAGGACGAACTAGTAGTTTTCACCTCAGACCACTGCTGTGGGAAGCTGGTAAGTTCACTTAATAAAACTTTTGTTTTTTAATACAATTATATAAAACTTTTCAGAAGTATTAAATGTTCTTGAAATATAAGGTATCATAGATGTGATACTGATTTGTAATTTTTATTGGCCCAGACGTGATCTATTAAAAGGGAGTCAGACTGCATATTGGAAGACCCAAGGTTCGCGACGCGATATGCCACTAAACACGCTTCACACTTTCAGCTCTTAATATATTATAAAGGTGATAGTCAGTACCACTGCTGTCTTCTCAGTAGTTTTAAATTAGGGATGGCTATGCTTGAGCCTAAGAGTTTCTGATGTGGCCGTTAAGCCCATGTCGCGCAAGATGACATTTACGTTTAAGATATTAATTTACTATATATAAGGTTGTTTGATTTCACGTTATATTTCCCGCCCCTGGTTTGAATCCGAGATATGTTGGATGATAGGCGAGTTCTCTACCAATGTCGCTAGTGGGCCATCCCACTAGCAATTGCTGGTAAGGCATTTTTAACTACTCAAACTACTACGTGCAATGAATTTAAAACAACAACAACAAAACACCCAAAACTCGAGCGCTTTCGAATAGTTCACTGTTGTTCTTCAGGAGTAGTTCGGGTAGTTAAATATATATATATATTTACAAATGAATAATATATATAAATACATATATATTATTCATTTGTAAAGCACTTCCATTTTACTTCCACTGTAAAGAATCACTTCTTTCAAAATAGAAATGCATACAGTCTTTGTCACACATTGTCTTTTTTATTATCTTCAAATACAATAAGCTAGAACTAAAGTTTTTTTGTTTATTATCTTCAATTTTTGTAAATATTAAGGTTCAACGTAAATAACTATACACTTTACTCCTATAAGTCTTATCTATTAAAAGTGTCACCCTTTCATTGAAAAAACAAAACAGCTTTCAGTCAAACAGTTCTAATGTTGTGTTTATATCATAATACAGGTGTCACTGTGAGCAATAAAGTTCTGGAGAGTCTGATCATCAGATTCGTTAAGAAGAGTATAGTGACGTTAGAAGACTTCCTTCTGACACTAGTCAAGCTATATCTTGCTCACGGTAAGTCCGCTGGAACATCCGGGCACTTCGAGCCCATCGTCTGCGTAGAAAGCGTGTTGCTTAAGGCAACGCAACAAACATTTAGCTCGTGATCTGTGATAATCAAATTATTTAGTCTTCTGAATTAACAAACATTGTTTGAAAGAATCCTTCTTAATAAATCAGTTCCCCCTTCTTTAAATATATGCAAATAATTCCGTCCGTAAACGTTTAACGAAAACCTGTAGAGAAAGATTAACACTTGCAAAGGTAACATTTATATTTCCAATATTTATATTGTCTTGTTTTGAAGAGTATTTCCTATACAAAAACTAGTTGGAATATTTCAAATTTTCTCTGCATTTATTTGAAAGTACAAACTCCATGTTTATTTTTTATAATAAAATATAAATAATATAACGTATTGAAGAGAAGCCACTTTTTTCTGAAACTGTTTAATAAACGTGGTTTGAAACTAACATGTTTATGGGTATGTCTGTCCCTCCCACCCATCCACCCCGGTGGCTCAGCGGTATGTTTGTGGACATAATATAACGATAAATTTCGGGTTTCAATACCCGTAATGGGCATAGCACAGATAGCCTATTAGTTAACTACGATGACAACCATGGTACAATGTCAAACTAAGCTAGAATAATTCTTTTATTCAATGCTTAACTAAAAATAATAATAATAAATTGAGAAAGTCGCCTTTTCAGTTTCATCAAGTTATATGTGTGTTTTTTATTTGTTTTTAAACGGACTTCGACTTTATGTGAATAACAGACTTAAAGTGTTTTTCTTTTAACAACAATCAAAAACAAAATCTAGAATTAGCATTGTTTAAAACGAACAAGCAAGTTACAAATATTTATTTTATTTGAGGAATAATGTAAAAATTATGATTATCGGCTTAAGAAAAATTCTAATTTGAAGTCACGAATTTAAAAAGCTGTGATAACTTTCTGTTCACCGTGAGGCGTAAATTTAAGTAGCAGTGTCAAGAAACAATCCGTTTGCCTTTAGAAGTAAAGAAGCTTAAGATAGTCGTGTATTAATTACTGTTGCTCAACAATATGTTTGTATAATGTATGATACAATAATGTAATATTAGCTGAACTGTCATCGAATATAACAGCAGATTTCTTCACGCCTTTTATCATTTCAGTGGTAAACAAAAGGGAATCCTCAATAGCAGTTGTACTTGAAATTCTTTTAGGCAGGATTAGAGTAAATTAATCTAGGAAACTTTTTTTTTCATTTTATTAGCTATATTTTTATGCGCCAGCCAGCAATACCAAGCGTGGGGCGCACGAATACCATATTTGATGTTATTACTCGTCGGAATCTGTACCAGCCTACCTTCAAATTGAGCTTCTTTTAGGCAGGATTAAAGTAAATTAATCTATGAGACCTTGGACGTGGTCAAATACAACAAACGCAAGGGTTTGACCTCCTGAATCCAAAACTGTAATTTGATAAAATTTTGTACTTGATTTAAAAAAAAAAAGCTCAGAGCCGTTCTATGACCGTTATGCCGCGGCTAAAAACGCTATTTGTTTGTTGAAAACTCAAAAAAACAAAAGAGAAACGATTTTAAATGGCTTGAAACATTATTAGACCCGAGAAAATTATTTTCTTATTTTCATCGTTGATAATAAGGGTACTTTTATTGCTATGGGCATGGCTCAGTGTTTAGCGTACCGGCCTCTATAAACAGTTCGCGTTCTGTTGCCGCAAACTTGCGTTTCGCACTTTTGGGCCGTAGGTACATTATACGAATGAAGGCCAAATTTCACTATTCAATTACAGTTGTCGGTGCGTACTTTTTACTAGCTGCTTCCCCAATAGACTATCAATTCGAAATCAATGATGGTTAGTGCAGATAACCCTAGTGGCCTGGTGGTTAGGGCTCTCAAAGCACAATTTGCGGGCCGTAGGATCGTAACCAGTCAGCCGAGGAGGGTGGTTATAGTGTGACTGTCAAGTCCAATATTCATAGGTGAAAAATAGCCCAAGAGTTGGAAATGTGTGATGTAGACTTCTCTTTAGTCTATCACTTCAAAATTAGGGACAGCTATCCCATAGAACCTTCAAGAATCTTTGCGCGAGATTCAAAAAACAAACAAACCTAATGTAGCTTTGCGCATATACTTGAAACAAACAGAGAAGCATTTTTCTATCAAAAATTCGGGGGAAATCTGTGTTTTTATTATGACCCCAAAAACCTCAAATATATATTTATCCAAAAGACGTTACTCGAGATTTTACGCTTGTGTTGATATTTATATTGTTGCGACATCGAGATCACGTGACTATTCTCACGCCCT